GCTGTGTGAGTCTGCCCCCTGCTCATTATTGCTGCTGTGCAAGTCTGATTGCTGCTTTCCACACACAGCCTGCCCAGGTTAAAAAAAAATATTCATTTCTGTGAAAGACTGAAATCTGCAAAGAATTAAGTTTCATGGAGAGATACTCATATTATCATTAAGCATGCGCAGACTGACACAAGGGTGGTGTGTCTGACACAGGAGAACAGTGTGGAGGGAGGAGAGGCAGCAGGAGACATGAGTCGGTACAGTGTCATTACCCAAGTTGGAACAGATCCAGGCTGCTTGGATTAGCACACGCCTTCCCTGTGTGAGGGGAATGACTATACCACCAGCTGCCAGGACCAGACCTCGTCTCTCATCCATCCGCAGGTACTAAGATGGATATATTACACATAGCATCTTAATGACTTAAACTAAAAGTTACTGTAGCACTATGGGGAGATGGTTCAATGGGCAAAGTGCTTGTTTCCCAATCACAAAGACTAGAATTCAGAATCTGAGGAGCCATGTAGAAGCCCAGGTGGACATGACAACCTGCCTGTAATTGACTCCTATAGTGTAAGCCACACTCTAAGCTCAGTGAGAGAGCCTATCAATTTATAAGGTGGAGAGATGAAGGAAGCCATTTGAAATCAAACTCTGGCTTTCACATATGTGTACCTGAACATAAGCATATATATATATATATATATATATATGCAAACACACACACACACACACTATGCACACACTAACGTGGTGATCTGCAGTGACTTCTTCCTTCAAAGCATTGGCCACCATTGGCTCCACATATGCTGAGGATACACTGAGACTCTTGTGTTGTAGTCATAGCAGGCTCATTCACTGGGCACAGGGTTCAGTATATCTGAGCCCAGGGTCTCTCTCAAGCAGAAAGATCAATATCCCATATTGTCAATCTGTTTGCAAGAGGCTCCCTTTCCAAAAAGATATTTTTATTATCATTATTATTTTAATTGTCTGTCTGTTTGTGTGTGTGTGTGTGTGTTTAGGGGGTTGTGCATGTTAGTGCAGTGTTCATGGAGATCAGGAGAGGGCATCAGATCAACCCTGAGTTAGTTACAGATGACTGTGGGCTGCCAAATGTGGGTTTTGCGAACTGAATCTGTTCCTCTGCAAGAGCAGTCCTTTGGTCTCATCTCTCCAACCCCATCAGTCAGCTCTTTTCTAATTCAAACTTCTTTGCAAGAAAGGGATTTTTTTTATGAACAGAAATTATGTGGACTTCACTGCTTTGCTAACTCTCTCAGAAGTTCATTAAAAGCTTCTACACACCAATCAAGGCTTTTTTTTATTTTTATTTTTTTATTTTTTATTTATTTATTTATTTATTTATTTATTTTGGTTTTTTGAGACAGGGTTTCTCTGTGGCTTTGGAGGCTGTCCTGGAACTCGCTTGGTAGTCCAGGCTGGTCTCAAACTCACAGAGATTCGCCTGCCTCTGCCTCCCGAGTGCTGGGATTAAAGGCGTGTGCCACCAACGCCCGGCAAGGCTTTTTTTTTAAATGGGACCCATCCAAACATTTCATGTGTGTGGTGCCAATAAACACACTTCTTCAGGAGGAACTAGCCCTACTTATGTAAAGTAGACACTTAATTCAACTGAATGGAAATAGCAAATGAGAGAAAGTCTGATTGAGGTCCTGATGATGCTTTCCCTGGTGAAGGCAGCCTTTGGAAGAGCTCCAGATGCTGACAGCAGAGGAACATCAGAATTGGAGAGGTCACTGGGAAACAGATTCGAGTAGAGACAAAGTCTACCAGGGACAGCTCACCTGGAAAGCTTTCTGAATTGTTTTCATATTAACTAGACAAGAAAACCATTAATGTGAATATAGTTGCACTCAAAGAAGCTGTACCAACAGAAGTCTCCAGAACAGCAGGTGCCATGGAGATGGAGATGCACAGGAAGGACTGCATTGGGACAGTTGCTTTCTGTGGTGACAGGGGCTAAGACACCCAGGCTAGGCCATTTGCAAACTGGGGACTCAGTTCAAGTCCAAAGGCTTGAGAACCAAGGAAGCCCTCAGTGTTACTGTCAGTCCAACCTGAAGATCAGTAAGCCAGAAGGCAGTGTGAAAACTCTAGTGAGCAGAGACTGGGATTGTGATGTCCAAGGGCACAAGAGGAAAGGTGTCCCTGCAGGAGGTGGGAGACCCTCTTTCACTGGCGCTGTTGTTTTATCTAAACTTTGGCTGGCTGGATGGATGGTGTGCTCCCATGCTGAGTAAGGGCAGATCTTCTGTCCTTGGTCCGTTGATTCAAATGTTTACATCCTTCTCATCCAGAGTTCTTCAGATACACCCAGAAATCTCAGCTCACCAACCATCTGGGCAGCCCTTCATGACTGACAGAAATTGCCGTCCCTGTGGGGCAGGGAGGGGGCTGAGTGTTTGCTCCATGGTGGCGCTAGCCCCTCAGTGGCCCTTGGGGCATCTCCAGCTGAGAAGTGCAGTGACTTTTCCCCTGTGCCTGTTCCTTCTGTTGCCCACAGCATCACTCAGTGAGCTGCTCGTGGAGCAACAGAACTAAGAGTCAGTCTCCTTCACGCCTCTCCTCACCCCCTCACACAGGGCAGACTACTCTGGGCAGCTGCCATGGCCTCTGTGCCTGAGGGGAGAAGCCTTCCCCTGTCCCCTTCAGAGGAGAGTCAACCACTCCCCTGTTCTCTAAGCTATTCAGTCCTGGCCTGGTGTCCTGGACCAGTGTACCAGAGACATTCAGGATGCCCCCCCCCCAGTTTCCGCTTCTGGATCCAGCTATTTCACACTTCACAGAAGGTTTGATGGGCCTCTGTGGTTCTAGAAATGGCAAAGAGCCCCATGAAGGCTGAAAGAGCCTTGGGACATGCTCATCAGCCTCCAGTGCGTGGGCTAGCCCCAGTGGAAGGGGTCCGATGACTGGCTACCATATTTTGCAGCTTATACTTCTAACTCAACCTCCACACAGCTATCTGTGATTTTACATGTGAATCCACTACAGATCCGAAGCCTACATCTATGCTTAATTTACTCCAATCCCATAACTTCCTAATTTGTGTGTACTTTGAAGAAAACTACCACCTTTGATTAAGTTAACCATGATTCTGCTTGCCAACAGCAATCCTCACATTTAAAAAACACACACACACACACACAATGTCCCCCAGTCAACTAATTTTATTCACACCCAGTTTCCTCTAAAGGGTTACAGCACATGGACGAATAAACACAGGCAGCCCTTTACTATAACATGCTTCTTCATGCTATATCCAAACCTGGGAATCCTTGGAAATACCTGGAGAGTTCACTCGTTAACATAATGTGATGTAATGAACATGGAATAAGCCCAGAGAGTTTTAGAACCACTAAGGTTCTTCCGCCTTCTCCTCCTACTCCTTTTATAGCTCTGGGAATAAACCCAGAGCTCCATATATACTAGAGAAGTGTTCCCCTACTGAGGTAAAACAAACTCACTTCTGATTGGGACACCGCGAGCCACCAAAGTGCCTGGAGAATTGCTTCAAAGCCTTCCTGGGGGTTGGCGGATTATAATCAGTTAACACCTAACTAAAATGCTTTAAGCTTCAAGACCTTGTAGCTCTCAGATTTCTCCACATCAGTTTCATACTGACCCCATTAGATGGTGTCTGAAAGACTCTTTGGTGTGAAGGTCTATAAATGTTCAGTCAGTCCCAGGGCTGCTTGGAAGCCACCTTTGTCTTTGGTCTTTGTTGACAGTCTCTGGGAGCAGTTGAGTCCACACCTGCTGTGCTCACTGATTGGGGTGAGTGTGTCACATCTGAGCATTGAAAGGGTCAGGGTTATTCGCAGACCGACCTGGCTTTCTGGGGTGCATGGCTGAGGGGGCTATTACTGCCGGAAGCAGCTGCGTGGAAAGGTACTCATTTCAGATGGACATAATAAAAACATAATAAAGTGTGTTTTCTTGTCCTATTGAAGAAGTCAGCTTGCTTGCTTCTGGCGGTTGAGAGTTTCACTAGCCCTCGCTGTGGAGAGAGGGCGGCTTGCTACAAAAGCGCCATGTGAGCTTTGTGACTCTCTCACTGCCCCTCCTCAGTGTGGGTTGCCATTGCACAGGTGGAGACAGTCAGGGCCGTGTCTGCTTACTCCGGGCATCTGAAAACACTGGACTTAAGTGTCCTGTTTACTGCTGTGTCACCATCTCTCACTGCCTGTGTCCCCAGAGTCTGGTATCTCACGTTCATTGTCATCACACAGTTTCTCTTCCGGTTCTGTCTGAATGAACACATGTGGATCCGAGGAATGGCCACCGGGTCGTGCCGTGGTGCTAGTTCCAGATTCCTCAGGGCCCTGTGTGAGCTTCCTGCAGCTTCCTTCTCCTGTCTTACACCCACACAGATCTGCGGCCCCTCGGTCTCTCATCTGCACCTGATTTTCTGTCAGCTTAACTTAAGGGATGTGGCTTATGGCCTTATCATGCGTGAATAAACCTTTGGTAACTCATTTCTCAATGTCCCCAGCAAAGAGACCCCCCCCCCCAGCCATGACAGCTCTGAAGTCAGCACAGTCAGGAATCAGAAATCTTAGCCAAGCATCACCAAAGACCAGAGTAATTAGCAAACATTTGTATCAGATTTATCAATGGGCCCTCACCAAAGACAGATTTTGCCCTGGAGTAAAATCTACATTTTTGACTGAATTAGGATCCATCAAGAGAAGCTAAACCTAAAGTTACAGCAAAGGAAGGCTATGGAGTCTAGTTCACATTTATGAAATTAATGAGATATTGCCTATTCAAAACACTCTTCTAGTTTGTGGCTTCAAATTGAAAGACCCCTTATTCCCAAGACGGTGGCTAAGATCACCACACGATAAATGGATAATGACCTCATGCTTAATTCATCGCATATGTACTTTGTTAAGTGACTTAAATAAGTTATGGAGGTGGCAATTTAAATACAGTATACAAGTGGAAAATACTTGCACTGAACTGAAATCAACACAAGGTACTAAATATTGGATAAGATGCCAGAGCTTGGCTGGCACTGGATAATTTATTTGGTCTGAGATCTGGGTTCGCTAGTTGAATACATAATTCAGCATGCAGTGAACATAAAAATAAATAAACAATCTGATTCTCCAAACATATGCGGAAGTGGGCCAGGAAGGCCACAGAAGCAACAGCCTGTGAGGCAGGGTGGGGTAAGCTTCTCCTACGTGCGATCTTTATGAAGCAACATCCTGTGAGGCAGGGTGGGGTGGGCGTCTCCTACATGCGGTCTTTATGCAGCAGTGTTCCTCTGCGGAGTTGTGTTTGTACATTTATTTACTTCTCTTCTTTACTGACTCGAAGCAGGCAGCTCACTTCCACCAAGTCTTCAACTCTGCCTACACAGTTGATAAAACGGTGGAGACGCGGTCAATATGATGCCAACCCTCTTTTTTTTTTTGCCATCGTTTTTATATTTGTTACTGTCTACTCAAAATGTGTAAAATGCGAAAACCAAACAAGATCTCACCATCACTTGAGTGTCCTGGAGCATGAGACGAAGGACATTCACAATGATCTTTGTCCTCGCCCCACCGGCATAGCATCCTCCTGATTGTCCACTGCCAGCCAATGAAACGCAGGAGCTCACTAACCTCCACAGCCCTCCATATGCGGGCGCATAATGGCCTGGTGGTGGGTCGTTCCTAAGTCAGCTCACGCTCCTCAAATGGATCACCTCCCCACCCCCCTTTTAACCATCTTATCCTAAGTAGCATTGAGATGTCAGTGGGCCAAGAACAGCTCTGGGAGTGCTGCTTGGGTTTCAGGATCAGCCCTGGGGAGCATCTGTAAATTGTGGCTGGGAGCTAGTTGCATGACTGCTGGGTAGTGCTCCCAGAAGAGGGAGGAGCAGAGCCTGCTGTGCTCAGAAGCACGAAGGCAGCCATGGCAGAAAGCCTTGTGGGCTAACAGGCACAGGCACGTCTTCCCTGACTGACTGCCGGAAGTACTGAGCATCCTTACACAGGGCGAGACGATGAATCTCGATTGTCAGCCGGGTTTAGGAGGGCCAGGGAAAGTAGAGAACCACACCTCTTGAGGGGAGATCGTCCCTGTGAGGACATTTCTAGGTGGGATTGGTTAAGCAGCAAGATTTACCTGACTCTGTGAGGCTCCGTCCCATAATCTAGCTGGAAGAAAACAAAAAGTAGGCTTGTGGTAGTTAATGAGAATTGTCCTCCACAGTCTTGTGCATTTGTATGCTTTATCCCCAAATGATAACACTGTGGGAGGCTTTGGAGGTGTGACCTTGTTGCAAAAAAAGCATGTTATTGGAAGAGGAATTGGGAGTTTAAAGACGAGTGTCATTTCTAGCTGGCTCTCTGCGCTTTGTGCTTATATTTTAAAATGCTGCAAGCTCTCAGTTTGTGGCCCCTGCCACCCTGCCTGCCACTCCCCTACTCTGATGGGCTCTTCTCTCTCTGGAACTGTAGCTCAAACAAGCCCTTCCTTCTAGGAGTTGCCTCTGTCATGGTATTTTACCACCGCAGCAGAAAGTAACTAACACAAGGATAAAACCCAGACATTCTCTCTGTCTGTGCCCTGGCCACTACGACATCCCACAATCCTCTACTCCCTATGATGTTCTGAACTCTGTGCTGAAAAATAAGTCCTTTTCCCTTTAGGTTGGCCATGTCAAGTTTTTTTTTTTATCATGACTATGTAAAAGTAGCTAAAACAGGACGACCATGGAACTGTCTTCCAGGGAGATGCTCCTTGGAGCTCATGTGACCAGCGATCCTGTTGTAGGTGGACCTTAAACTATTCCAGTGGAGGCATATGGAGGATGCAGGTTTACCTCTCAGATAAGCCATGAAACTACTTAACATTTCACTTTTGAATAGGCAATATACTCTTAATACAGAAAATTCAATGTGCCAAGTAAATTAAGAGTAACCTAACGAACAAAGAAAAGAAAAGGCGATCCATAATATAAATTGTTAATAGTCTTGGCAATTTTTCTTCATGAAACTTTTCAGACCTGTGTAATTTTATTTCCGTATACGTTCAGGTATTCCATACTTGCTCACTCAAACAAGGACTCTTTTATACACACACACACACACACACACACACACACACACTGATAATACCTTGTGTTTTGCCCTGCTGTCTCTACAGAAATAAATTCCAAGCATTTTTCAGGTCACTATTTGTCATCTTAGCACCTTCTTGTCCTTCGAGTGTCAGGACATTCTACACCTAGGTACTAGTGTGCACTTCAGAGTTACATGGTTTTTTAAGACATTGCTATGTATTGGAAAGTTGTCTGTGTTCTCATCGGTAGCACACAAGGGGGAATCCCTCGGGGCGTTGCCACTGTTTCCATTGTTGCCATCCTCATAGCTGGTAGGCTCCACAAACTTGCCTTTTGCTAATTGGAGAGGCTGCACCTTCGTCCTCGTTGACCTTTCCATTTCTTAGCTCTTTGGGTTCATGCAGCTCAGATGTCTGAGCTCCTGCCTCAAGCCTTTCTTCACATTGTTTATCCAGCCACATATTCATTTATTTTATCCACAGCTGGGATGGTGGGGTCTTCCCTACATTGCAGCCCTGGCCTGATGTTACCACAGCAGATGTTCAGTGCGATCCTGAGAAGACAGGTTGCAGTTATTGCCAGTCTCAGATTGTGTAACTGCAGCTGAATGACCTTACTGAAGAACCTCCTATCAGCTCTCTATGTGGCCTGCACACTTCATGTAAATGTGAGGAGACCTAGGGAAGCAGCACGATTAGAGGAGTATGTCCTCTACCTGTCTGTACCCCTCATGCCCACATGCGCTGCAGTTCAGCGGCAGGGGAGGTGGTGAGCAAGGGGGGAGCTCTGCTCCGGGCTGCATGCCCCCCATCTCTGCGATAACCCTCTCTCAGAGGAGCTCACGGGATCTACAGCGTTCTCCGTGCCCCATGTTCCTCCAGGCAGCCTCTCTCAGGCCTGCACATCTGGGAACCTGATGGCAGACAGCAGGACTGCCCAGCAGAGCTGTGAGTAGTCCCTCACTCCATTTGCATGTCTAGGAAACCAGGGACACACTAAGCGCCCAAAGCATGCCCTCCCTTTCTCCATCCTACTTACAGCTTCAACTTTTCTCTGTAGCCCCTTCCAACAGCACTGGGCCCCGGGTCCCAGGTCTCCACACCCTCACTTCTTTCTGAGTCTGACATCGTCCTCTCCTTTCTCCCCATCCCCTCATGCTCCCTCCCTCTTCCTTTCCATCTCCCTTCTGTGCTTTAGCTGCTATTGTGAACTATTGTGAACGATACATGCATTAACATGAGAATGGAGGGAAAACGAAACCATTTTCCTTTTTTTCTCAAAATTTCTTTCAGAATACATGAAACAGGAAACACAGTTACACTTCCAGCAGACACAGAAACCATGGTCTGTGTAACCCAGCCTTATGTTTCCTCAATGAACCAAGCCTCGCAGACATCCCAAACTGCCTTTCAAACACAAACCTGGTCATACCTGACTCGAAAGGATCCCATTTCAGGCCGGCCCATTTCTCAGGAGCCGATGAGAGCAGAGCGCAGCATCCTGACAATGGTGTCCTACCAGCCCTCACGATGGCTATCTGTGTATGGGACAAGCTGGTAGCTGGTGATGCCACTGTCTGGCTTTCTCCTGCCACCAGGGTCTGTCCCCATTTGGTGCCCACAACGGCCTGGAAACAGGTGGACAGAGAGGCCCACTTCCTGCGCCCTTCTGTACACGGATGACTCACAATGTTTCAGTCACACACCAGGACCGGAAGTGTGCAGCAGCAGCGTTCTCAGAAGGACAGTGAGATACCCAGGGACAGGCGCCGCCCATTTACACATGTGGTCCTCCCATGTCACACTTCCTCCCCTTAAGCCGGGATGATAATGCCAGCTGCCCCAGGGGCTTCTGGGAACGGTTAACCTGTGAGGAGCCACACCATCCAGTGCTGTGCTGTGTCCCAGTCCAGAGCTCCCTGGCTTCACCTCATCCATCTCTGGTGATTCTGAAGGATCTTTGTGTTTCCATTGATATTTAACTTATCCTGGAATTTCAAATGTCATTAAAGGGCATATGCTCTTTTAGGGCTTGAGTTTAAATTCCTTCCCATGCCCCTCCCTCTCCATCCTTAGTAAATGCCTTCACTGGTCCCCGTGGCTTTTATGAGGTCTACAGAGGCTCACTGCTCCGGAGAGTGGGCAACAGTATTGTGTGGCACAGCAAGGACATCATTTCTGTCCGTAGGGATGCTCACGACTTGTCCCATCCCAGCACCATACCCTGTAGCCTGTGACCCCCTCCCCAGTAGCCTTGTGTCAACAAAATGTTCTCAGCATCATTATCATCAACCTGCTTGACCTCCAGCTGACCATTCTTTCTGGAAGCCTTATGTCCTAAGGTCTCCTTCTGCTTGGCTCAGTGCATTGCTCAGTGGGGCTCTCTAAAGACCCCACATCCTGGCAGAGACCAGCCCTTGGTGCTGAGCCTGCAGATCCTCCCCTGCCTTCTGGATGCTCCATGGAGATTACAGTGAGAGTCCTTCCCTCCCTCCACAGCTCTGTCTGGTGAAGCAGCTGCAGTTGCTCTCAGCATGAGGGTAGACTGAGGACTGGGAGGTAGGTAGGGCTAACCTGTGTGCAAACAAGATTGCAGACCTTAAGTCTCTCTGGGGGTTTCAGCTGCCCCTCTTTGAGGATTCCCCACTGAGAGAATTTCAGGTCTAATGCATAGTAGGGTTTGATCCACACGCTTATTCAAGTTCTAACCATTCTTGAGGCATTGGAAGATGAAGAATGAAGAAAAACAGGGGCTGGGAAGATGGCTCAGTGGGTGAAGCGTTCACTGTGAAAGAATGAAAACCCAAGTTTGGATCCCCAGAATCCACATAAATGCCTGACAGGTGTGGCTGTTACTTCTAACCAGTAGCACTGGGGAAGCAGAAGACAGGGATTCCCTGGAACAAGCTGGTGAGCTCGAATATCAGAATTAGGGAGCTCAGACTCAGTGAGAGACCCTGCCTCAGGCAATAAAAAGACCCAGCATCAACTTCCAGCTTCCTCATGAACACACACATGCATGTGCCCCTGCACTCATATGCCTCGCACATGCAAACACACATAGACGCATAACAGAGAGACAGACACACATATGCAGAGAGAGAGAGAGAGAGAGAGAGAGAGAGAGAGAGAGAGAGAGAGAGAGAGAGAGAGAGAGAGAGAGATACGTGCACAGACAGACACACACACGGGGAGAGAGAGAGGGGGGGAGTGTTTACAGAGAAGAGGAAAACACTTTTTTTTTTATTTAAGCCACGGGAATTCAATTCTAAGTATTACAGGGGAACTTCTGTGAAGAGGTTAAGACAGGGTGAGGAGTCCTGCGGGGTGAGGAGTCCTGCGGGGTGAGGAGTCCTGCGGGGTGAGGTCTGCCTCTCCATCAGCAGTCTGATGGAAATGAGAGGCTGCAATGATCCCCTCACACCTGGGTTAATTACACTGCTTCCTAGGCAAGAACAAGTTGGAGAAGGATTGTTTTGATTCACACTTTATGGTATTAATTATGTGTTTTTATTATAATTGTTAGCAAAAGAGAGACTGTAAACTTGGAGAGAAAACATGAACTTTTCCACCTGCATCTCTTGAATATCCATCATCACAGACAGAAACTGTCTCCACATAACACTGCCACATAACATTGGCAGTTTGATTTTGCCCTTTTAGCTCATCTAAGAAATATGCTGAGTGGACTTTGAACATGTTGTCAACCATTTGTAACTTATCTGTTGAAAATATTTTGCCCATAAGCAGACAATAAGTAGAATTTTTTTATGATGCTGCATTGCTGACTGTTGACGCCATGGACTTCAGAATGCAAAGACAGCATCAGTGAGCAGGGTATGAGAAACCTATCCTAGAGCTAGTTAGATGTCCACAGTCCCACCCATCTGGAATCTAGTACCAAGGAATTGTCAAGATATGGCTTTTTTTCTGGAAGACTATATTGAAAGAAAGCAAACAGAAAATGTCTGCCATGTGAGCTGGACTTGGCCCTAAGGGAAGGTGACATGGTGCTCATTTGCAGGGCCCTTGCTGGGTTAGTCCATGTTGACATTAACAAAACCTCAAAGGATGGCAATGTTCCTGAGTTGCGGCATCCAGATTGGATAACTGTGTCAAGTCTGACCCATCAGTGATGGTTCACAGCACTCTGCTCATGGCTCGTGCAGCAGGGGCTTTGTGCAGGGAGTGAACCCCCTCCAGCTTCGTGGCACCTGCTACTCACTGTGTTGTTTAGTTTCCCCTGTAACTCAGCATCCGGCTTTTGTGTCCGGTCCCAGGACCTGATGGCGCAAGCAGTGGCTGCCAGAGTACGTAAGAAAGTGGGGAGAGTGAAAAGTTCTCAGTGCAGTTGCCATAGGGGCTGACATGATCCGTGTGATAGGTTACCGTGGCCAAAGAGAAGAGACCTTTAAGTTCCGTCTGTGTTCTCTCATTGCTGGGCTCTTTCACAGAAATCAAAACCGAGAGCCGGTCCCATTTCTTTGACACCATTTTGAAGGATGTATAAATTCAGTCTTTTATCGCTGAATGATAGAAATGGTGGGTGTTTGTAAAATGTCAGGCCAAAGAGATCTGCAGACAGGAATAATGGTAACTAGGTGGCTTGAGGGATCAACCCTGTCTACTCTTTCTCTGCCTTTCCATACCAGATCCACACAAAGCAAGTGGATGCTCCCAGAAAAAATATTACTGACACCCTCCCGGAAGCAGATAACACAGCCTGTTAGCTTTATTCTTGCTGACCCCAGAAACCTGTCAGCATAGTAAACTGGATGTTTTTTAAATGTGGTGAACAACATTATACACAGACCCACATATACAGCTCATCATAGGTGGCAGGGTGAGTGGGACCCTTGGAGATGGGATTTGTTTCTCTCAAGTTTTCCGAAAGTACTGTAGTAGAACATAGGAGATCTCCTTGGGAAAAATCACATACTCAGGTGCACACACAGATGCCCAGACACTCAGAGCTGTGAGTCCAGTCTGATCACAAGCTTGGCATTTCCTATGAAGGATGTGGGGCTGACAGACTGCCAGACTGTCCAGCTCGGGACTTGCTTAGAGTTAGGCAGAGGTGTAGACAGGGCTGTTGGACAATGCAGGCTGCTCATCTGCTCCACAGAATTGCCACCAGCAGTGCCCAGGCTGAAAGACAGGCGCTGCAGTGGTGTTTGGGGGACAGGAGATGAAGTCACCTTGGTGGTCATCTTTCTGTATACCATCCTACTCAGAAGAGTCCTGCAGAGAAGCAGCACATGGCTGTTGTCTCTGTGCCCTCCTCCTTCCTCTTAGCCTATCCACGTAGGCCCCTGGGTCTCACACCAGCAGAGGACATAGTTTCAGAGCCCTGTCACAGCCTGTATCTGGCAGCCCTAGGAAGGGATAGGACTGCAGGTGGCTGAATAGGACCTGCTGGTCTGTCCTTCGGAACTGTTTGGGGATGGGTTTCTTTAGGAGTTCATCAAGAATGAAGGGCTAAGCTGCCTGCCCTGCACAGCCTGGCAAGGCACAGTCTCTGGGGGACAGGTCCAGGCCACAGAGACAGTGCCTGTGGCTCTCAGCCTGCCCTTTAGTTCTGGGATAGTCGGATGTACTTCCAGAGCTCTGAGGGGGACAAGTCCAATGTTCTGGAAGCTTGGCTCAAGGGAACTACCCAAATAGACATGAGTTAGCACTACTTCCAGAAAAGAGTGACCATTGCAGCAACAAAGGCTTCCGTTGGTGTGGCAGGAGCTCCTCCTGGAGCACCGGAGAGCACTGGTTCCCTCCTCTGCCTCTCTGGAAGTCACAGAGGTATCGGAGTGAGGGACTCTCTCACGATGGCAAGTCCTCAACTGCTTTGTGTTTTTGCTTTCACTGAAAACCAATTTCATTTTTGGTTTCTTGAAAGTGACATATGTTCAAAGTTTATAAAGTTATTTATCTTTTATATTTGTTTATTTAGTGACGGGGCTCACTCATGCCTTGGTGTGCATGTAGAGGTCAGAGGTAAACCTGCTGGAAGTGGTTCTTTCTATCATGAGGATTCCATGCATCAGACTCAGGCTGTCAGGCTTGGCAGCAAGCGCGCTTACCTGCTGAGCCACCTGGTCAGCCCTAGAGCTAAGTTTTGTTAATGAAAAAAATGAGAATCTCCAATTTCTCTTCTCCTTAATCCTAATCTTGTTATCAAATGGCTAAACTCTTTCAAGATTTTGGTATTTTCCTTTTAAGTTATTGTTATTTGTGTGTGTGTGTGTGTGTGCAGTGTGTTCAGATGACAGCCTTTGGTACTTGATTCTCTTCTGCTAACAACCAGAAATTGAACTCAGGTCATCAGGCATCTGTAGGATAATGTCTTCAGGGCTGTGGAGTTTCCTTTACTCATTGATCTATCTGACCAGCCCTCATGGGATTTCCTTTAGTGCTCCTCAGGCCCCCATAACAACCATATGTGTTTTGCATTTATTCATTAGACTATTGCTATCCAGGTACACTAGCTGAAGATGTGATATTCACCCTCTTAAACTTTCCCCATCCATATTTCAGTCAAGCCGATGTGAAATGATAGCACCATTGACCTTATGGACACATATCTCTGAGTCTTAGTAAACATATTCTGGCACCAATAGACTTCTGACGAAGTTGAACTTACATGTCTGTATAAAATCAT